GCGCCACTCGCTGGCGCGGTGCTGCCACCAGCGTGCCGCCCCGCCGCGTCCCGATGCTGACCACCACCGCGCGAGAGGAGGGGGGAGGGGGAGGAGCAACAGGAGGCGGGGGAGGAGCAACAGGAGGCGGGGTTATCAGGGATTCCTGGACCGTCTCAGGTCTTCAGGGTCTCATCCTCACGTTCTCACAACGTTCCTTTAATTCAGGGAACAACCAGGTTCCACCTGCTAGCAACAGGATCTTCTAATGAGATCCTTTTGTTCTGGTCGGACCGTTCTGTGTGTCACACCACTGTTCTACTGCAGAACCTGAATGAGGCCTCAGACGCCGTAGAACCGGACTGAGAACAGAACTCAGAACAGGACGGGTTCTGGTTCTGGGTCAGTGAACATGGAACTCACCTCTGGCAGAGAGCTTCTTGGTGTTGATGATCTTGGCGGCGTACTCCTGACCCGACAGAACCTTGACACAGCGCCGCACCACTGAGAACGCTCCCCTGAAAACACAACAGGAGGAACCAGTGAGCAAACGGTGTTCTAACGAGGTCCTCACCAGGTTCTAATGACATGTCTGGTTCGAAACATGGGTGGCTGGTAGTAGAGAGGGTCGGATAGAGATCGGAGGGTCGGCGGTTCGATTCCGCCCTGTGACCTCATGGTGGCTCGGACTCTTTACCTGCCAGGTGTGGATGTGTATAGATGGAGGTGGTGGCCACGCCTCTGTCGATCTCCGTGGCGACAGTCGTAGCTACAACCACCGGATCAATAACTGATCAATTATTATTATTGTTATTGTTCTGAGAAGATCTCATTTATGTTCCAGAACATTCCTTCTGATGGATTAAAACACCAGAACAAGATCCCTAAAGTTCGGACCAGACTGTTCTGATCCTCATTACATCCTCACAAGGTTCTTTTCAGGTTCTCATTAAACATGTTCTACCAGATCCATTCCCTGTCCTACGTTCTAACAACATCCTGTCTATGTTCTTTTCTTTTTCAAACAAGTTCCTCTCACATTCAGAGTTCTAGAAGGATCCTTTACAAGTTCACCTACTGATAATACTACTGATAATACTACNCTACATCTACCCTCTAACTCTACATCTACCCTCTAACCCTACATCTACCCTCTAACTCTACATCTACCCTCTAACCCTACATCTACCCTCTAACTCTACATCTACCCTCTAACTCTACATCTACCCTCTAACTCCACATTTATTTAGTTCAGTTCAGAGGATGAACACTGAACTGAGTTTTGATTCGCCTGCTTTATTTGTAATGCAGGCGAGGAACTCAGTTTCTGCAGATACAACATATGAAACAACCTGGATAGGATCAGAGGAACAAAGAAAGGTGGGAATATCGCAACAAAAACAAAACAAAAAAACAAAAAAAAACCAACAACCTGGAAATGAATGAACTAAATGATCAGTAAGTTGAACATTAAACACTGGAGTTTCCTCGTTGGGACGGCGGTGCCGCTCTGGTGTTTGTTCGGAGACTCTGATCAAACAGTTTGATCCAACAGAACCTCTGACGTTCCGACAGAATAAGTTGGTTCTCTAATTAAAGTGGAGCAGCTGCAGACTCACATGTCGCTGTTGTGTAATCTGTCAAACTGTGGAGGCGGTTTGGCTTCGTGGACTCTGAAGGCGTGAAGGAGTCGCCTGCTTCCTGCTGCAGCTCCTCTGCAGGTTCGTCTGAATTCATCTCAGCCGTTGTTTCTTTGACAAAATGTGTTGTGTCACCGTTTATTCTACATCATTCTACAGGACATTTCAAAATGATTAGGAACTGTCCGTTATTTAATAGAACATTATTGATAGATATTGTTCATTTGATGTGTTTTTTGTAGGATCTGACTTTTATTGATGAAACGTAATTCAGTGCAGCTTTATATGAATTGTTTTGAAACTAGTCGTCTGTTTATTGCAAAAATATTATTCGTTTTAAAAATCTTCTGTATTAAATTATCCAGTTTTATTGTATCTCATTCATTTATTGTTATGAATGTAGTTTTTCAATTATTTTATCTATTTTCAATGTCACTCTTCTTTTAAATGGTTTCATTTTTTAAACCAGCTCGATGTTACGTTTTTGACTTAATGTACATTTTCAGAAATGTTTCCTCAGTTTGCACCGTCCTGTGAACACCGGCTGTCCTGCAGCCACCCCAGAGCGGGACTCCATCCCGCCCCCCTCAGGTCACCCCAGAGCAGGACCCCATCCCGCCCCCCTCAGGTCCTCCCAGAGCAGGACTCCATCCCGTCCCCCTCAGGTCACCCCAGAGCAGGACCCCATCCCGCCCCCCTCAGGTCCTCCCAGAGCAGGACTCCATCCCGTCCCCCTCAGGTCACCCCAGAGCAGGACCCCATCCCGCC